ACTCTGGCAGCCTCAGCACGTCCAGCTCTCACCGCGGTGCGCAGAATGTCCGATGAAACACTACACGTGCGATACAATTGCACCGGTTTGCACGTGCACGCGTCCTCAAATCTTTGGACAATTGACGTCTGCTCTTGCCACCAAGCGGGGGACCAGCAGCCCGCAGAAAAACGAGGCAGAGGCGCGGCGCCTTCTGCGGCTTGCTGAAGACGTGTGAGCGAAGGTCTCCATCCCGAGAGAGTGGTCGTGCACGTGCGCCACAACGACGCGAGGCAGAGAGCAAGGATGGACGTAGGGCCCCCTCCTCTGCACCAACGCTTCAAAGAGAGCAAGTCGCATTTCCTAAGAGCATTCGGAGGGAGACGATAGAGCTTGTGCAAACCATGAATTTCTCGCTTCAAAAGACGTGGGATGGGCAAAAAAAGCTGGGCGACATAACTGAGAGTGGGGAGAATGGCAGAGGCATACAACAAAGTGAGGGCGGACGGAGGAGCACGAGTGATGCTGGCCAAGTGGATCCGCTTCCACCATTTCTCCGCTGGCGCGCGCCACTGCGTATCTGCTGTCGCGCCCGGTCCAAGCCAAACGCCCAAATACTTGACGACATCCGACACCTGGAAACAACGCCAACCCTCACACACCGACCCAAGATCTTGAGTCGTTTGGCTTCGGACTTCAGCGGACAAAGGGGCCCAGAGTGGGACTGCGACACATTTTGATGCTTGCAAAGCTAGACCAGCCAGGCGTTCGGCGAAACAGAACGTCTCCGCAATCAGGTGCAGCTGTGTCACACAGAGAAGAATGAGCCCAATATCGTCGGCACACGCTCGGACCACTCCATGGTCAAGTGACGGGAAGGGCCTGTGGAGATGTCGCAGCAGAGGGTCCATGCAGAGGGCCCACAGACTGCCTGACAGAGGACATCCCTGCAATACGCCACTAGCCAACTCGCACATCGGAGTGAGGGGCATGTCACCGAAACGAGCGAACGCGATGGGAGCGTGATACAGCGCACTGATGGCCCATTGGACACCAAGAGGGACGCCATAGTGTGCCAGTACTAGCTCCAACCATCGCCTATTCAGACTGGGAAACGCAGCTTTGAAATCGAAGGAGAGAAGGAGAGGCCTTCGCTCAGAGCCGTGCTCGAGCCAGCCAGCTCGTCTCGCCTCCGCATCCAGCAGGGGTATGTTGCCAACAAAGTTACGACCAGTAATATACCCCTGCTGGCTGCAGTGCACCCTGGCTTCCAAAGGTTTCAACGTGAAGTTGATAGCAGAGCCGATCGCCTTCACATCACTGTTCTTGAGACTCAAGGGACGAAGGTCCTGACAACGCCGAGTAATCCGAGCCGCATCCGACGTTTCTTCTCCCTTCGGGAGAAAGGCGAACAGTGAGTGATTGGCTTCGTATGGCATAAAACCGCCAGAGTAGATATGCACAAGAACGCGATGCAGTACATCAGTGGCTAGCGGATGGGAAATCCACGCAGCGTATGGGATCCTGTCAGGTCCAGGAGCACTCGGCTTAGCACGCTGGATGGCGTGCGTAAGGGCTGCTACACTGGGGAGAGGAGCGTCAAAGGTAGGAGCAGGAGGAAGAACGGAGTGCAGGAAACGAGAGATATCTTCATCACATGCTTCTTGCGCAGCAAAGACCGGTTGCCAATGCTGCTGGACTGCCTTGAATATTCCTTCATCAGTGCAAACCGTGACTTCAGACGCAGTGGGACCGTCATGTACATGCACGCGCGCACCTTCGAGCCTAATCTGACGCGCCCACGGTGTCCACAAGCGCGCACGACGAGCAGCTTTCCGTTCGATCTTACGCTGAAAGAACACATCCTTGTGCCTGCCGAATTCATCATACTGTGAAACATTCGCTGATGCCTGGAGAGCTCTGAGCTGATGCCATTCATCATTGACAGCATCGCACTGCGCATGGAAAGCAGGAGGGGAGAGAAGACCGACGGAGCCATCAGAGACGACGAGATGGGAGGCAGCAAGAGGAGAAGTGGCAATGAGCCGAGATGCCGTGCACACATCATTCCGCCATAGTGCACGTGCCATGGAGCGAAACAGGTACATGCGTGTGATGGGAGCATCAGGATGGGCTTGCCTATGATACTCGGGTCCCTGCAACTTGTCTCGTGTAAGAGCGGCCGCTTCATACATGATATCCTTGATTCCCTGCCAAGCACGAATGGTGGGCAGTTCGTCGAAGTCGGTGTGAGAAATCATAGAGGCAAAAATAGTGCGAAATTCTTCGGTCCTGAACAAATACGATGGGATGGCTCGCTCGGGCTGAGTGCGCGGAGTGGAAGGCTTAATTTTCAGCATGAGCATTGCATGATCAGACAAACCTCGATCTGAGAGCTGCGTGCTTTCGTGCGCAATCTGAAGAGTGACGTCTAACAACATTTGCTGGGAGGCAGGGCCAGCAAGGAAGAAGCGATCGATGCACGAGACCTGCAGTCTGTGCGAGTCATACCGAGTGGGGAGATCAGATGTGATCTCTGTGACAGAAGAGAACATGCGCCTCCAGCGAGCCTGCATATGCTGACCGCGATTGTCGATGACAGGGAGTTGGGTAGGGGGAAGAGGGTCAGAAGCAGCCTGAAGGGGGGATCGAAAGGAACGAGGGGGAGACTCAGGGATATAAAATCTCCCAGAGCAAGGAACTTGAACGTCCGTTCATGGCTCCGAGCTAAGAGAACTTGTTCATCGTTCGACCTCGTGCACATCCAGTGCAGAGAGGTTATGATTGTGGACATTCAAGATACACATCGTATACTCGTGCGCAGGGGAAGAGATATGCAGAGCAGCCACTCGGCCGGGCACAATAGGGTGCAAGACACAGATTGGCTTCAGCTCAGCAGGAACAGGTAGATGTTGCGGGTGACCTGGCACCAAGAAAGCGACGCCGCCCGCAGCCACATCGAAGCCAGACATGTAGCAGTCGTAAGAGTACGGGGTATCATCAATCAGCCGTTGAAGGCGCAGCTCATCACCTCGCACCTCTTGAAGTACGATGAGAAAGCGCTGCCTCATGTATTCAGATAATAGACGCATCTTTGACGCTCTCTTGCTGGAATTCAAGCAGAGGAGACTGCGGGCGTTCCAGCAGATAATCCGAAGACCAGCATTCGCATCACGAAGGTAAGGCTCCCACGGAGCCCAGCATGTGCTACCCAGACCACTGCACCTCCACCGCCGAGAAAGCTGTGGAAAATGCTGCTTCGATACTGTCCTTGTCGATGTTGAATTGAGCTGTGGCGTGAAGGTTCCACTTGATTCTAGTAGGTTCATCCTGGGCTCTCGGTTCCAGTTGACAGCACGGTATACTGTTGACCAAGATTTGGTACTGGGCTCTTCGGCATCTCCACGTAAGAGATGGATACGCATCTTCCAATAACTTGCACATCCTCTTGGCTTGCACCTCACCTCTGACCATCTTTGGGCTCTTGTCCGTGGATACATACATCGCAACCGTGGCGCCTTCGGTGGAAACAACGTTGAATGACCTCCAGCCAGTGGATGTTCGCAAACTTCGGACCAATGCTGTGGCACGAGAGCTGGCTTCGGCTTTAGTTCCAAGTACTCTGACTGTGAAACGCCTAGCCACGACATCTCCGACGAGTTCGATCTGGTTCCGTTGCAACTTTGCATCAGCAATCCAAGCAGCAAGAGCCTCACTGACAGCCTGTGGAGCGGCAGGAGCGACGACACCAATCGAAAAAATGTGTGGGTCCACCGCTCGATCCCATGTGGCCAGGTTCTCGACGTCGAACGGGAGTTGCGACTCAGCCATGGCGAGCTGCTGCTTGATGGCCTCGACCTCGGTACGCATGGCGTCCTGAGCGGCAGCTGCTTTGTCTTGTCTCTGTCGCAAGTCCTGGACCTCTCGTGCTTGTGCGTCGATACGCCTGATCGTCTTAGCCTGCTCTTGCACAAATGTCGCACGAAGTTGACTGGCGATCGATTCAAGCTGTGACGCAGCAGCGGCAGTGGCTGCCGCAGTAGTGGCGACACGAATAGCCTCTGCATCCACTTGTACAGCTTCACGAAGACGTGCCTCCATTTGGCGAAAATCAGATGAGGCACCTGGTGTGGCAGTGCCTGAGATAGGAGTAGCTGGAGTCCGCAAAGGAGGTTCACCGACGGGGGGCTCTCCTGCAACATGATGACCATCATCAGAGACGCGAGCGGCGGCATCTGCAGCGGCGGGGCGTGCTCTGTGAGCCACTTGCCAAGCAACTTGTTCTTGCGACGGGAATGTGGGAGCTGCTTCCATGGCAGCGCCAATCTGGGCTGCTTCTTGAGAAGAAAGCGGAAGCCGTTCTCCAGCAGCACCTTCAGCATCACGCCTCCAAGGATCACGTGCAAGCAGAGGGTCCCCAGGGCCAGGGCGGTGTGCGTCAACAGCCGCAGCAGGAGCACCAGCACGCCCAGATCGTCTTTCACGACCACCGCGTTCAGCATGAGGAGCAGGGCGTTCATCACGTGGACCACGCCGTGGACAATCTTCACGGCGCCTCGCAGGAGGAGCATCATAATCCTGACGAGGGCGCTCTCTCCTTCGATGTTCCTTAGCCGCATCACTGCGGCTGCGATCAGTATGAGGACGTTCAGAACTTGATGCGCTGTCGGACGACAACATCGGGTCTGCGGCGAACTGCCACCTCCCACCTCGTCGCCACCACCAGATTCCACTATGGCAGCATGGGCGGGCAGCCGTCGCGAGCAGAGAAAAAAACGTGAGTTATGGAAAGCTGTCGTGGCCTCCTGACGGCCCAGCACGGAAGGCTTGAGCCTTCACTGCAGCAGAGGACCAAGACTAATCAGGTTACCTCGCAACCTCGTTGCTTCCCCCCGTTTAGTCTTGAGCCAAAATGGCTACGGAGGAGGAGGAGGAGGAGGAGGAGGAGGAGGGGGAGGAGGAGGAGGAGAAGCAGCAGCGAAGGGGACCCGTTTGTTCCCTCTGCCCCACGGTGCCCGCGCCTCTGGCCGCGGGCCCATGCGGTCGCCCCCGGTGCAGCTGCCCGCAGGCGAGGCGCAGGGCAGCCGGTGCACGCCGCCGTACTTGCGCTCCGCGGCCACGAGCCAGACCTGTCGGCTGCACCCTGCTCCCTCCTCCCTCCTCCCCCCTCCCTCCTCCCTCCTCCCCCCTCCTCCTCCTCCTCCTCCTCCTCCTCTTCCTCCTCCTCCTCCTCCTCGTCCTCCTCCTCATGTGGCCCTGGGTTTATGTTGCTCCCATCGCACTTGAGGGTTGTGCTGTTCTGGCCTACCGTGGTCTTGATCACCAGACAAAAAAATCGAGCACCGAGAGAGTATCGAGGCAGGAGGGTCTTCTCGTGCCGGGCCGTGGGAGCCGTTAGTCTTCCTACACTTCGCCAGCGTGTGGGGCAGACGCTGTTTCGATATGTTTCTGGGTGCTCGAATTTTTGATGTGGTCCTTAAGTGCGATGGGAACAACAGAACCCTGGATTCATGCTGCTCCCACCGCATTTAAGGACCACGTCCCAAAAAACAATTTCGAGCACCCAGAGAAATATCGAAACAGTGTCGAACGAGTATCGCCTCCCAGGGCCCGACGCGTGAAAACCCTCCAGTTTCGGTATTTTCTTGGTGCTCGAAATTCTTTCTGGTGATCAAAGCTAAAAGTATATTGGAACATCATATCCATGGGTAAGAAGCGGCCTCCCCAGTGGGGTCCGAGTAAGTGGGGTCGGAGAATCGCGCCGCATCGCCAATGCATCGCCGATGCATCGGCGATGCATCAGCGATGCATCAGCGATGCATCGGCAACGTCGACGATGCGCAAGCGCCGTCGGCGTGGAGAAAAGCGGGCCCCACCCGCACCGCCGATGCATCGGCGATGCGGTGCGATCCTCCGACCCCATCTGCTCGGACCTCGGACCCCCTCTGGGAGGCCTCGAGTACAAGTGACCTTTGGTGCGCGGCTTTCTTGGGGCTACGCGGGGGCCAAACAGCAAGCGCGCAAGACGCCACTGCCGCATCGCGTTCGGCCATCGGGGGGCCCCAGTGGGCCCGCACCAGAAGTCACTCCGGCGAAGGGTCACTCTTACCCAGACATGACACGTCCGGATTTTTTCAGGACGGCGTCCCCTGAAGTCCCGACCCTTTCCCCGGGGCCGGCTCTTCAGCCTGCGCCGCTTTTCGACGGCCCCAGGGCCCGACGAGGGCCCCCAGGGGCCGAACATTGCGAACAACTGGCCGTCCTGCTTTTCGTGACTTCCGACGCGAGCCTGTCCGGGTGCACGTGCCGTCGAGCCTGGAGGAGCAGGAGGCCCGCCCGGGCACGATCGCGTCGTGGGGAGCTCGGGACTTACCGGCCTGGAACATATCCCTATCCCTATGCTGGGCACCTCCTCATCACGATGCCAATCTTAGGGATCCCCTTATTTTTTGAGGGCGAATCCCTAAGATTGTCATCGCCTTTTGGCGTGTCAATCTTAGGGATAAGGATACGTTCGATCGGGGGCGGCAAAGAGGGGGGTGTCCAAGAGAGGGGGGGGTGCAACTCATGACCGGCGGCATGTGCGCGGCCCAGCGGGGGGGCCAGGGACGTGATGAAATGAGAAAAGGCGCCATGAAATCTGGGGAAATATCATGGCCCCCGCCATGATATCCACCCCGCCCTAGGCATCACCCCCCTCTTTTCCGCCCCCGAGTTCGAGGCTGGTATGGGACGGGAGGCTGCTCGCCGCCTCCGGCCCCCCGGGGGGCCGCCGCCCGGGCCCCGGGCCGCCAAGCAACGGCTCAAGACGACAGTTACCAGCCTCGAACGTATCCCTATCCCTAAGATTGACACGCCAAAAGGCGATGACAATCTTAGGGATTCGCCCTCAAAAAATAAGGGGAATCCCTAAGATTGGCATCGTGATGAGGAGGTGCCCAGCATAGGGATAGGGATATGTTCCAGGCTGGTAACAGGGCTGGCCCTGGGGTCAGGGTCGGGCATGCCCCCCTACGGGCGGCTTCTGGGCGAAAACGTTGTAAGCATAGTCCAGGCATGCGCGAGTAAGAGTCAAGCATGCTGAACAAATCGTCCGAAGAGTATTTGTTCAGCCCAGTTTGGGATCGTCCTCCTGTAGAGGGACACGCCCGACTTCATCCTGGGGGAGGGTCGGGACTGCCGGGGGCGCCGCCTTGATCGACGGTGGACCAACCTCCCTGTAATAAGCCTCCCCTGAGTGAAAACGGCCTGGGGCCGAAACCGACGGAACTGGACCCGCAAAAACGGCGGCCGCGACGCCCTCTCGCGAACCGAACACGGCCAACTCGCTAATCGACGCGTCAGGGTAGGAGGTCTATCCACCTCCGACTTGAGAGAGGCCCCGGCCCAGAGATCCGGCGCTCCAGCTTGGAGCGGGCGGGCTTGGGCTGCCTTCGGCCTCCGGGGGCCCCTGGCCGGGCCTCGGGGCCGTGGACAAAATGACTGGCACTGGCACTCCCGCGCGTGGGCACCGTCAAGGGTGCGAAAACCCGACCCTTGGGTCATGTCGGGCCTGTCCCCCCTACATGGGGATTTTCGACGAAGAATAAAACATACCCCAAAAATGCTCCCAGAAGGTCAAACATATCCCAAAAATTCGCCGGCCCAACGGGCCAGAGGCGTGCTAAGATCTCCGGTAACTGGTTAACAATTCTCTAGTTCGCGCGCGCGGGGCGGCCCCTGGGGGTCCCCGGACGAAAAGTACCCCGGGCGATCCCCGACCGACCCCCGAGCGATCCCCGGGAGACTCCCCCAGAGCGCTCCAGGAGCGCACCAACAGGGCTCCGAGACGTCCCCGAGAGCCCCAAGAAAGGCCAAGAGGCCCCCAAGAGGCCCCCAAGATGGTACACGAGGGGTCCGACATGCCACAAGATCGCTCCAAGACGCCCAAGATAGCCCCCAGACGCCCCAAGAGGCCTCCAAGAGCACTCCCAAGAGGGCCCCGGAGGCAAAATTCATTGCTTTTCCTTAGGTTTTTGAAAGATTTTGGAGCTTCCACCTTTTCGGCTTCCCGACGCCCCAAGACGGCCCAAGAGGCCCCCAAGATCGCCCCAAGAGGGCCCAAGAGGCCCCCAAGAGGGCCCCAAGATGGCCCAAGAGGGCTCGAAGACGGCCCAAGAAGCCCCCAAGACGGTCCAAGAGGCCCCAAGAGGCCCCTAAGAGGCCCCAAGAGGCCCCCACGAGGCCCTCAGGAGGCCCCCCAGAGTCCCCCAAGCGGCCCCAGGAGGCCCCCCAAATGCCCACCCGAGCGCCCCAGGAGTCCCCCAAGCGGCCCCAGGAACCCACAAAGCGCCGCATTGACACCAGGCCCTCGGGCAAACGGCAGACATGAGACTGTATGGGCCGGCGGAATGAGCGAAGCGATTAAATAATCCTCAGACTATTCTTGGACCATTTTTTGATTATTTTTGGGGTATTATTTATTTTTCGTCGACAATCCCCCTAGGGAGAGGGACAGGCCCGACTTAACCCTTGGGCCCTCAGGGAAGTGGTCCAGACCTCCGGGGCCCACGCCTCGGGCCTCACCCATTTGAGACCCTGGCGCTGCAGCTCGGGCCCCGGGAGCCTCACACCGCGATCTGGCCCGAGAGGTGGCGCAGGACGATGGGGTCCTGGACTCCAGCCGTGCTGTTTTGCGACGTTGCAACTGTCGGGAGCGGCCAAGAGGGGGGTGTCCAAGAGGGGGGGGTGCAAATCATGACCGGCGGCATGTGCGCGGCCCGACGTAATAAAATAAGAAGAGGCGCCATGACATCTGGGGAAGTATCATGACCCACGCCATGATATCCCCCCCCCTAGTCATCACCCCCTTCTTTTCCGCCCCCGAGTTTTGCGACGTTGCAAGTGTTCTGCGACGTCGGATGTGAGGGAACGCCGGGATCTGTCGCTGCTTTCGGCCTCTGGGGGCCCTCGCCAGCCCATGGAGGCCCTCGCCAGCCCTCGGGCCGAAGAGCCGGCCCTGGGCAAGGGGTCCAGACCTCCGGGGGCCCGGGGTAGGGAAACTCAAGACCTCGGACGTCTGGGAGCAGCGTGGACGGATTCCTCGGGTTGGCGCGGATACCTCGAAACTTCTCGAAGTACCTCTCGGATTGGCTCTGGCGGCGCGCACAGGGGGGTATGGGGGAGGGGGGAAGGCTTCTTAGAAGCACCCCTGCTTCTTAGAAGGCGCGGGCCTTGTCTACAAATGTGAGGCCGGCGCCTTCTACGAAGCAGCCTCCCTCTAAGAAGCCCTCCCCCCTCCCCCTACCCTCGGAGGATTTCTCGGCTTGGCTCTGGTCCCTCGGAGGATTGCTTGGCTTGGCTCGGACTTCTCGAAGGTCGGCGCGGAGTTCTTGGATATTGGTGCCATGGGCCCTCCTCCCGGGCGCGCGCGGAGCGCGCAAGGGGGCGGTGCCGGAGGCGCCGCCACAGGGGGACCCAACGCAGATCCACGAGGCCCGCGCCGACTTTCGAGAAATCCGGGCCCATCCAGGAAGGAAATCCTCCGAGGAGCCCGAGCCGATCGCAGAGAGCCGGCCAAGACGTCACAGCCTGCCGAGGAGTCCGGGCCGATCCTCCGAGACATCCGCGCGGACCTCCGAAAGTTTCCGCTCAGGGTTTCTTTTGAGCAGGGACCGACCGTCCCGGCATTCCTATAGTCCTACCACGAAATGTTCTCAGAACCCAAACATGTACTAGGAACAACAACAATATTCTTAGAACGTATTCCCGATGTGCTAAAACAGGACAGTCGCAGCCAGAAATGTTCTAAGAACATGTCGTGAGAACCGCAAGAGGTTCTTAGAACACTGTTTGGTAGGGCTATAGGCGAGCCGGGACGCTTCGCTCGGGAGCGGCCAAGAGGGGGGTGTCCAAGAGGGGGATTGCAAATCATGGCCAGCGGCATGTGCGCGGCCCAGCGGGGGGGCCGGGAACGTAATGAAATAAGAAGAGGCGCCCTGAAATCTGGGGAAATATCATGCCCCCCGCCATGATATCCCCCCCCCCCTAGTCATCGCCCCCCTCTTTTCCGCCCCCGATTCGCCACTGCTTGAGATTCTTCTCTCTCCCCGGCACCGCGAGGTCGCCGGCGGACACGCGCGCCCCAGGCGTGCAGCAGCCTGGCTGGGCGCCAGCTGCGACGACGGCGACGAGGGCCCCGACGTCCGGGGGCCCCGGCCTCTTCACACCGGGCGCTCTCGCTCGGCTTCGGGCCCTGGGGCCCTCGCAGACTGCACAGATCGAGGAGGCTCGAAACGTGCCGCACGGAGATGGAGTCTAGCGCTCCGGCCGTGATCTGTTCGCGATCCCCAGGCATCCTGTGGCGTTGGGTCTTCGTTCTGAAGAGGCAGCGCCCCGCGTCCTCCTCGTCCTCCTCCTCGTCCTCCTCCTCGTCCTCCTCCTCCGCCTCCTCCTCCTCCCTCCTTCCTTCCTCCTGCAGCCTTCCTCCTTCCTCCAACCTCCTTCCTCCTCCTCTTCCCATCCCTGCCTCTGCCCTCCGCATGTCCATTGCGGCCCACCCCTCAGACGCTTCGTGGCTCCATAGGGAGCTCCACCGAAGGCCCCAGTAGCGGTCCTCGTACCCGTCCCCCGCACCCAGTTAGGCACACCCTCGCACGGCTGGTGGCCCCATCGGAATCTCCACCGAAGGCCTCAGCACCAATTTCGGCACACCCTGACGCTTCGTCGGCCCCATAGGGAGCTCCACCGAAGGCCCCAGTGGCAGTTCCCGCATGCGCCCCCCGCGGCCATTTCGGCACACCTCTCGCACGCTTCGTGGCCCCAGAGGGAGCTCTATCGAAGGCCCCAGTGGTAGTTTTCGCATGCGGCCCCCGCACCAAGTGCGGCACATACTGGCGCTGCCTCGGCGCTGGCGCGGCACGAACGTGCCGTGCGACGGCAGAGTGCAACAACTAGTGGACACTCCCACCCTCCCCAAAGCTCAGAGTTGGCACGCGCGGGGGAGACTGCGGCGCAAGCGCAGCTCGTCCGGCCCATCGCCGGCAGCGAACACGGCGGGGCACCGACAGACGACTGCGGCATGAGCACTCGCCCGTCCACTCCGAGGCCTGGCTGGCGGGGGCGCGCTGATCCCTTGGCGAGTGCCCACCCGGGCTCAGTCGAGACCGCGCCGCGATCTCCGGGCCAGCCGTGCGGCAGCTCCTCGAGCCTGGGCCCCAGTGGAGGGAGGGGGGAGGGCGGGGGTCGGCCCCACGCGGGCGCGCTGAACCACAGGCCAGCGCCACGCATGGGCTCAGACAAGACCGCGCCGCGACTTCCAGGCCGGCTGCACAGCAGCTCCCAAGCCTGGGTCCGCGAACGGAATCGGCCCAGTGCAGGGCGCCTCCCGAAACCATGAGCCTAAGAGAACGTCGGCGTCTCGCTGTTTTCTAACGTCTCCTTCCAGCCATCCTTCCGTCGGCGGGGCCGCTGCCGTTTTACTTCCGCCGCCCTCCGCGGCCTTCTGCTGTGGGCCAGCCGAGGGAGTGGAAGGAAGGGGAAAAGCCCAACGCGGGCGACTCCACAACCCTGAGGCTAAGAACGTTGGCGACTCGTTTGAGGGAGGGGGAGGAAGGGGTCAGTCGGCCCATTGCGGGCGACTCCAGGAACCCTGGTGAGATCTCGACTGCCCTCCGGGGCCAGCGGAAGGCGGGCCAGAGGCGGCGGCCGAACCCCCCCTCCAATGCAGTCAGGCAGCTTCCTAACCAGCAGGGGCGGAGGAGGAGGACGAGGATGAGAAGGACGAGGAGGACAAAGAGGAGGAGGAGGAGGAGGAGGAGGAGGAGGAGGAGGAGGAGGAGGAGGAGGAGGAGGAGGAGGAGGAGGAGGAGGAGGAGGAGGAGAGAAGGACGAGGAGGCCAAAGAGGAGAGGAGGAGGAGGAGGAGGAGGAGAGAGGGGAGGAGGAGGAGAGGAGGAGGAGGAGGAGGAGAAGGAGGAGGGGAGGAGGAGAAGGAAAGGATGCCAAAGAGGGAGGAGGAGGAGGAGGGGAGGAGGAGGAGGAGGAGGAGGAGGAGAAGAAGGAAGAGGAGGAGGAGGGGGAGGATGAGGAGAGGAGGAGGAGGAGGGCGAGGAGGAGGAGGAGGAGGAGGGCGAGGAGGAGGAGGAGGAGGAGGGCGAGGAGCAGAAGGAGGAGGACCAGTGTAAACCCAAGACGCATCAACAATGTTACACTAAACACCCCCTCCGAATTCCCTCCTCAAATATCATACAAACATGTTGATTCAATGCGGGAAGTGGCTCAATAGAAAACAACCATCTGAGATTCCTCGATCCTGCTGAAACACGAATCCTGGGACTTTTTACGCTGCGAATCAACGTGACTGTTGCGCCCTGACAACCCCAAAACGTGCCAGAACAACATTCCAGGGACTTCCACCGTACGAATCCCTGGGATAGTCGCAATATTTGACAACGAATGTGCGCTAGGGCGAGAACCACATTTTGAAAATGAGTCGCCCTCCATCCTTGAAGCTGCTGCAAAACATATTCAACAAAACAAAATTGTGCGTTGGGCTGAGGCCAGAACGGCATTTGAAAACTATTCACCCTCCATCCGTGACACTGTTGCGAACCAGCCGCCCTCCTTTCGATGAAGCGGGGGGAGGCGGAGACGGAGGAGGAGGAGGAGGAGGAGGAGGACCAGTGTAAACCCAAGACGCATCAACGATGTTACATTAAACGCTCCCTCCAAATTCCTTCTTCAGAAGATCATGCAAATATGTGGATTAATTTGGGAAGTGGCCCATTAGAAAACAACCGTCTGATAATCCTCAATCCTGCCGAAACAAGAATCCATTGACTTTTACGCTGCGAATCAACGTGACTGTTGCGCCCTGACAACCCCAACACGTGCCAGAACAACATTGGGGGGACTTCCACCGTACGAATCCCTGGGATATTCGCAATATTTGACAACGAATGTGCGCTAGGGCGAGAACCACATTTTGAAAATGAGCCGCCCTCCATCCTCGACGCTGCTGCAAAACATATTCAACAAAACAAAATTGTGCGTTGGGCTGAGGCGAGAACGCCATTTTGAAAACCATTCACCCTCCATCCGTGACACTGCTGCAAACCAGCCGCCCTCCTTTCGATGAAGCGGGAGGAAGCGGAGACGGAGGAGGAGGAGGAGGAAGAGGACGAGGAACGAGAAAGGAGGGAGTGAGGGATGGAGGAGGAAGAGGAAGAGGAAGAGGAAGAGGAGGAGGAGGAGGAGGAGGAGGAGGAGGAGGAGGAGAGGAGGAGAGGAGGAGGAGGAGGAGGAGGAGGAGGAGGAGGAGGAGGAGGAGGAGGAGGAAGGCGGAGGGAGGAGAAACGATCCCCCAACAACCCCCTGCGACTGGTTGCGTGCGCCCGGTCCAGCCCTCGAAGGTGAACTCGCCGGCCCAGCAGCTCGACTCGCCCGTGGCGCCGCGTGTGGTATCACAGCAGCGGTCCTGGGCGCCGCCGACGACGACGCCGACGACGACGAAAATGACGACGACGACGGCGACGGCGATAACGACAACGACGACGACGACGACGACGACGACGACGACGGCGGCGACGACGGCGGCGGCGACGGCGACGGCGACGAGGTCCGGCGAGAAGTCGCCCTGCCAGCAGTCTAGGCTGCCCCGCCCCGGGCCCAGCAGCGTGGCGGGGAGCAGGGCCCACTGCGCGGCGCCCATCGCCTCGGCGGCCCCCGGGCGGCCCTCGGCGGCCCCTCGGCGCGCCCCTCGGCGGGCCCTCGGCGGGCCCTCGCCGGGCCCTCGGCGGCCCTCAGCGGGGCTGTCAGCGGGGCCCTTGGCGGCCCTCCGCCCTCTGCCCTCCGCTCTCCGCCCTCCGCCCTCCTCGGCCCTCCCCCTCCCCCTCCTCCATGTCCAGCCAGACTCGTTGAGCACGTCCGAGTGCTGCTGCGACCGTCTCCCGTGGAAGGGTGCCGCAAGCGGCACGCGCTGCTGCGGCGCGACCTCTGGACAGTACGTTTGTTGCCCTTGTATTGGTTACACGGACTATAGGCCACCACTGATCCGAATTGTGGCGCCAGATTGGAATGCTGCGGAGCAGCGTCGATCTCAAGCCGGGCGTTGGCGGGCGAAGCATTTCCAGGTGCGCGTGCACCTTTCACAGCCAGTGCGTGGGCCTCTTCAGCGACATGCCGTATGTGCAGCAAGCTCGTTGCACAAGGCCAGGCGGATCCAGCTGACCCGTTGCCGTGGAGTTCGTTCCCCCGGCTGTATTGCTTGCAGCTTCAAGAGCAAGTGACGCGAACGGAGGGAAGTGGCCCCTTGTCTCTGTACGAAGCTGGTCCGGAGACTCTCTTTCTGGTGTATCTGGCGTGCCAGAAGCCGTACATTCGTTTCCCTCGTTGGTGGGGAGATGGGAGGTTGCAGAGTTCTTGTTCGGATGTGCTAATTTGATCCTGGTCGTCCCTGGAAGCTGCCACCGCGTGGCCGTAAGGGGCCCATGGGAGAAGTTGTTGCGTTGGCATCAGCTCCGGCCTGTGCGGGTTCCTCCGTCGGGCATCCCAACCGCTCTTGCACGCAAGCGGGGTGCCGGGCGGCGTATCCTCACGGGTGCGCTGCTGGAAATCCTGTGTGGGCTGGCGCGGGCCTGGCTGCGGTCTCACGCCCGATGCGTGGGCGAGCGCGGCCCGCGGTGGGCGACCTGCTTCAATGCCTATCGATTGCTGCGCCAGGCGCATTGGTCCAGGCACTTCCCGTGATGTCCGCCCGGAGGACTTGGTCCGGAGGGCCCAGGTGGCTTCGCTCGCGGCTGGCGGCTGGCCGTGAGCGAAGCCACCGGAGATGAAAGAGAGTTCCGGGCCAGAGTTGAAGCAGAGCTGGATCAGGGTATTATTCGAGTTTTTTGAGCTTCATGTTTGAAGCTAGTCTGCCTCCAAAGCACGCACTCAAGGCCCAAGGCCAGCCCAGGCCAGTGCAGATTGCCGCGGTGGCCCAGCGCGGGAGGCCCGCGGGCCCGCTTGGTCGCCAGTTGGCCTTCGAGAGCGGAGGCGGCGAGACTGTCCTGCTCGGGCCATGCCATCCGGCCGCCGTGGCGGGGAGAAGGTTCGGATGTTGTTAGAAGTACCCCTGGCCCAAGGTGCCCCCAGGATTTCCAAGGAGGTCTCCACGGCCTTCAGGGCACCCCTCACGCGGCCCAGGGGTCCCCAGAGGCTCCGAACTGGAGTGACAAGCTGGGGGTACCTTGGGCCAGGGGCACCTGCAGCACCACCAGGCGCCCGCGCGGCACTCCCCAAGCCGCTAGAGGCGTGGGTGCAGGTGGAGGCGCCCCTCGCCAAAGCTTTCCGGCGCCAGCGCATGATCGTCGGGGACAACCGCGATCGGAGCAGGGCGCGGAGGGCTCATTCCCAGGAGGCGTACCTGCACCTTCTGCAAGCCATGCTGCCGGACCAAAACTGGAGGGGGGAACCCTTGTCTGTTAGAGGCGTCTAGACCTTCCTGTGGGCGCGGGGAGAGTGGGGCGTACCTTTGTTCCTTCGCAAGAGACCCTGGGGAAAATCCAGAATCGCCCCATCGGTTTTCCCCCTCCATCAAATCCAAGTGCTGCTGGGACGACGGCACTCGCCAGCGTGAGAAGCCACTTCGCTCATGCTGGTGGCGAGTCGTGGACACGTCCCGTTGCCCCTTCCAGAATGCATGGCAGCACCTGGACCGAAGGGCCCGCACCGTCATAGAGACGGCTGGGTTCACGCTGGAAATGTTCGGCCTTCACGAGGAACGCACTGCCCTGGACGACTTGATATCGGTACCCACGCACCCCGCGACTGATCGTTGTTGTCGGTGCCAGGCGCCCCTGCATGGGCAGGCGTCTGCGGTCGCTCTGGACGTGGACCACGCGTTCGAGGCATGCCGCGCCGCCAAAGCCATGCCAGCGTGGGCAGGGTTTGCCAGCGCCTTCGAACCGCGCCACGGACACCGCTTCTTGGTCTGCAAGGGCCGAAACCTGGAGGTGCGCGCGGGCGGGCACGGGTCTGGGTCTGGTTGGATACCGCACCCCTGGCCATCGCTCGGACGTCCATTTCCTGTGTTTCGTTCGGTTTCGTGCGTGGTTTTTTCGCGAACTGATCAAGGATGCTCCTCGATGGTCCTCGCCGAGGAAAAAACGCACACGTCCGAGCGATGCCAGGACCCTGGCTCAAAAGGCCCCGAGCGGCACCCCTCCCCGGGGCCTCCCGCACCCGAGGGGGGCGCCCGACGCAGGCGGGCCCCGACCCAGCGCGCGGCGCCCGCGCGGCCCTGGCCCCCCCCCCGCCGCTGCCCCGCGCCGCCGGCTGGGGGAGCTGTGGTCCTTACCCCCCTTGGGGGAACCCATCGCATCGACGATCTCTCGAGAGGGGTGTCGAAATCGAGGGGTCCCCCAGGGGGGGTAAGGACCACAGCTCCCCC